TTAAGTGGTTGAGGGTCATCTGGGGTGAAGACCGACGCGGAGTCCGGACTGAGGTGCTTCAAGCAGGTAGGCCTACTGTTAAAAAATAACTTTGATGAGCCCCAGAGCAGAGTCCTGCCTCGGATACCCGGCGGATAACCCGCAAAATAGTTGTGTAACGGGCAAAACATACATGTAGGCCTATATCTAACCACGGGTGCGGGGACAGGTAAAAAAAAAAAACGTAATGCAGGCGAGTAGCGGGTGGGAACAAAAATATGTTGTGGTTTTTCTCTGGAGAAATCAGAAATGAAAATGAAGATTCATTCATAACGTTGTGATTCAAATCATTATTATTAATAACTTACAGCAACATCGCGTGCAATAGTCCACCTCCTCTCTCTCTCAAACACACACAGCAGTGCTCCTATGTAACCGACAGTCCAAAAGTCAAGATTTAATGAAAAAAGATAGATGTAATCCTTTCCAAAATTCACAACGGGTCGGGTCGTGGGTCTTATATCAACAGGTCGGGTCCAAATTTGACTTGAAGATAATTGCGTGTAACGGGTCGGTTCGCGGTACTGAGCTGCGAGGGTTCGGGTGGGTGCGGATTTGAAAACTGGACCCATGCAGGACTCTGCCCCAGAGGCTTTTAAGTTGAAGCTTAACCCTTATGAATCCCTTTTAAAAACGTTACTCTGAAAACACTAACGACAAAAATGTCCGCATCTAAAAATACTGTAATAAAGATATTATAGGCTATGTTAATATTTTTTTTCCACTTTCAATTACTTACATCTTTTAACCCAATTCAGTGCTGATCATAATTATCAAATGTTCATTCATTTTTATTTTTGTCGCTAGGGATCTGAAAGTCACTATTTTGATTACACATACACTTATTAAGAAAATGTTTCCAAAAAACTCACATCTTTACCAAATGTCGTGCCATATTCTTAACACAATCAGAATGCTCGCAAAATTAAACAGTGACATGGGCAATACAGTTCCTTAGGGAGGCATAAGGGTTAATGTACTTATTTAATTAAATACTACAGCCATCACAGTAGGATGTTAACATAATTGACTGTAGCCTAATTGACCCAAGGATGGCAGATTGCTTAAAGTTGCATTGTAGTCTTAAGATAAGAGATACAGTAATTAAATGAGATTTTTTACTTTTGTAATGTTTGTATTTAGGAAAATATGTCAGTGAAAGAGGGAGAGATGGACAGCACAGTATCAAGAAACAGTCTTACAGCGCACCTACAGGTGAGGAAGACGAGGACACAAGTCAGGATGACAGGGAAATAAGTAACGCACAGCCACAGTCTGAGATAGACACAGAAGAGTCAGACCAACAAAGTACAGAGACAGCCACCGGAAATGACAACAAAAATGAACAGAAAGTGCAAAGCAGGGCCAAAAAAGTTCAAAATTGCCATGACAAGAAAACAATGGAACAAAATTAAACCTAAACATGGCAAAAAAAAACTCCGTCCCCCCTGGACTGATACATTTTATCAGGAATTTTTGAAAAAGAATCCATGCTGCACACTTGCTTTCAAATACCAGCATGTTAAGACAAATGATAGCCGTAAAAAGAATTCGCCATTTTTCTGTGCCTCTGCAAAATGCACATTTAATGGATGCAACGCTGTCTACAGTTTCTCAAAAAAGAACAGGCCAAACTCAACGGATACAAAAATATTTTTAAAAGTCATGCGTATTGGTGAAGTTATACACCATAAAAATCAAAGGCGATTTAGACCAGCAAAATACACAAGAAGAGGAACCATTTCCAAAGCCTTCACCAGTGGTGTCAGCAATTATTATTACACTATGTTAAGACAGACACCAGTAGAGTAAATAATGGCTGGTAACATAAGCAGAAGCCTCACCAAAGATGTGTTAAAGAAAATATCCTCTGAAGTGAAGAAAAGTACAAGGCTCCACGATGACATGATGCTTGAACTCATGTTGACTCAAAAAATAATCAAAGAGAGCAGCAGTCATGCATCATCAAAAGGCTATCTTCAGCACCTACAAATAGATCCGTTTGCTGTACATTTATACACAGATGCTGGAATAAAGATTTTGACTGAGCACTTAAAAAAGCCAACACCTACGACTCTCTACCTTGATGCCACAGGCAGCGTGATACAGAAAATTCCTGATCAAAATAAGCGGGTCTTGTATTATGCTTTGGTTTTGCCCGGAATGGGTAAGGATAAACCTCCCTTGCCTGTCACAGAACTGATCACCAACAGCCATTCCATTCCATCTATTTCCCATTGGCTCATGGAATTTAAAAGAAAGTTGTCTTACACAACAAAAAGAAAGATAGCACAGGTTGAGACAGATTATAGTTGGGCTCTGATAAACAGTGTGCTTCTGTCTTTTAACAGGGAAAATATGTCAGTGTACCTTGACAGAGCATTTGAGGTAATGTCTGGACAAACTGAACTGATTCCTAACTTCACTGTGCTGCATCTGTGCTCTGCTCATATCATGAAGGCTGTGTCACAAGCATTTGGAAAAAAAAACTGTAGACAGAGGCACACAGGAATATGCAACATTCTGTTTTGCGTACATCCTGAACTGCACAAGTATGCAGGAAGCCATTGATGTTTTTTATCATATGTGTGTGCTTTTTGATGCAGAGGAGTACACTCATTTGGTGAAACAGAGCAAAATGTACCTTGACAAGTGCATTTTGCAAACTCGGGATGTGAAACTGGAGGAAAGTGGACATGTAATGGGAGAGGAGGAAAGCAAAATGGAAAAAAATGCTCATAGCATTATTGGAAAGTCCCCTTTTACACGAGCTTTTCAAGTCAGGCGGGACCAAGCAGAGTGTGACATTCTCTCTGACGATGCTGTTCGTGTATAAAAAACCACTACCTCTGTCCTGGTGTCATTGATGCACTGTTAAAAAACGACATGGGGATCTTCCCATTGTGGAGTGGTTTGTTGCTTGGGGATCTGTCGCGACATAGAAAAGGTACCTCTAAAAAAGATGGAAGTCATAAAACCAGGGATACCAACTGCCATGTTGAGCTCTGGTTTGGGTTGGTCAAACACTCCATCCTTTTAAAAAAAAAGTACCTGAGACCAGCAGAGTTCATCTCCAAAATGTATGCCTCAATACAAGGAAGATATGTAGAGCACATTGAGCAACACAATCTGCCAATGTATATTCTGGACAAAAACTTTGGACATCCTAGCAGGCCAGATGATGACCACGAGGAACAGTGGAACAAGCGGGAAAGTTCTGCTGGTCACACCAAGTCCAAGTCCAAGTACTTCAATCCACCAAAAACACTACCCAACCCCAAGAGCCCACCTGCCACAAAGGTGAAGAAAAGAAAAGTGGACCAACAGGAAAAAGATGCACAGGGAAATGTGAGTTTCTCTAAGACATACTATGTTCAAAGTGTGTAAATTGTTCTCCAGCATTGTAATTGTAACAATGGAATAAGTAAATATTGTCAGAAAGTAAAGCATGGACTAAATTGGTAAAGAGTGAGGTGAAGGACAAAGGACATGAAGTATTATAACCCAAGATGATTAGGTGCATGTTGTAGGGGGAGAATATGAAGATGAAAAATGTAAATGTAAATACAGCATACAAACTTATAACAGAAACTAGATTTCTAAATCAGACTTGAAACTGCAATTACAGTTTCTGTTCCTGAGCAGCCTGTTTAATGTCATTTAGTGAAAACTCTAAAAGGGAAAAAGGTTAAATGCATAAACATGGACAGTTTAATTATATTCTGTGTATGTAGCTTTGATGGTGCATATACAAAAACAAGGCCTTCACCCAAAAATTCAAGATTGTTAACCCTCTGGTATCATTCAAATGCACTACCCTAATTAGTCATTCGGGACAAAAATGTCCAGAGTGATACCGGAGGGTTAAAAGATTCCTCAAGTGTCCATATTAAACAGAATGCATCTATTTCCCCTCAATCCTGACTTGCAGTTGACCTGGCTGTGGAAAAAAAAGGACACCGAGGTGGTCGTGGCAGTGCTCCCCTCACAGATGAAAGGACGCATCTTACTTATCCGCCACTGTGAGCTATGCTCACTTCGACCCCACCAGTGGTTGACAGGGGAGGTACGTGACTACATGTTTCAAGTGTCTGAAGTTTCACTCTACACTGTGTCATTTTCTTTATCTTGCATTTAACGATTTCTGCCCAAAAAGTATCTGAAAAGAAATGTCTAGATACTTTTGTCAGTCACAAGGTTCTCAAAGTTGCAGGAAATGAAAGTTCAGTAAAACTGGGAATATGCATTAATTGGCTAATTGTTATGATCTTTTTTGCCAGGTAATTGAAGGCGTGTTTCATGTTGCTGCCGACAAATTCGGCGTTGGGAACAAAATGTACTTGCTAAATCACTACACAGCAGGTGTCATTTTGTTCGGGGACAGAACTCAGCTAACATCTCACAGTTTACCAAAGGTAATGTGTGTGGTCTGTGTATGTTTATGTGTGTGGTGTGTTGTGTTTGTGCATGGTGATGCTGTAGGGGGAAGTAGGTGTGGATTTGATTTGTGGGCTCACACTCACACATTAGGTACATGGAGTGAAGCATTGGCTGAGAATCCACAGGTCTTAAATAGGAAATTAGCTGAGATTATTTTACTTTATCCTCTCTGAAACTATACTCATTAGTTAAATCACCTGATAAATCTACTTACTATTGCATTTCCATACCAACACTTGTTTTAAGCACAACAAATGAATGGCACAAGAACATAATTGTCAGACTAATGTTGTTGTTATTTTTTACCTTAGCCTTCAAGTTTGTTTTAATCCTTTATTTGATGCCATTATAGGTAAACTTTGACAACTATGAAGCTGTCCTGTCCTTTGTACTTGTCAACAACAACCACTGGAAGTTGCTGGTTTGTAATTATTTTGTTATTGTATTATTTCTGTTAAAGCACAAGACTTATATAGTGAAACCAGTGCTTTTACTTTTTTTGTTCTCTCACCGTACATTCATGCCAAAACCAGCACCGTATTCCTGGTGGATCCAGCTCAAAGCATCAAAGAGCTTGATGACTCCGAACATGCTGCCAAAAGAATACAGTAAATAAAAATTCAATATATATTTGAAAATTCAAGTAAAAACTATATTTAAACGTAAAAAATGTGTCACATTTAGTTACATTCATACTCACAAACAGCATTGAAAGCATTTTAAACAGTCTGATACAGTCTGTGTTCAGACAGTGATATCTATAGCTGACCCTTATATAAATAAATGGTCATATGGTGAATACAAACAGTATGAATTTCTGTTACATTATCTTTAGGAGCCACATAATTAGAAATATAAAGTGTGTTAACATTATCCTTTCTCAGGGAGTACTTCAAGATGAGGAGGACACGCCACAGCATAACAGACTGGGTGGATGTTAAGTGGAAGGGAGGCGTTATGGGCCACCCACTTCAAAAGGATGGATGTAGCTGTGGTGTCGTTGTTGTGAAGGTGAGCTGAAGAGATTCTGTTCTCATCCAGTTAACAAGCAGAGTTTTTAATGTGAAAGACAGTTTAATGCAAGGACGGATAAACAAATCTGTCAAAGTAGTGGTCGACCGATAAGGGTTTTTTAAAGGCCGATGCTGATCCCCATAATATTTAGCAGGCAGGTTGGCCAATGGACAATATACAGTATAATGCCGATATCATGTTGTTGTTTATTGTATTTTTCACAACTGACAACAATTGGATTATGACACAACATTGCTGAACTTAAATGAACAGTTATTTAACACTAATGTAGTATTCACTTGAACACAGAAAGTTTCATTGACAAAACTTCGCTTCCGAATATCTCAAAATTCCAATAATAGGACCGGTCTATATCAATAATCAAAAGTTTGGGAGGCATTCTAGTCAAGGGTGGATGTCTTCTATAATGTGTCTCATGTTTTTTCTGTATCTGTATTACTATACAATAAAGAAGAAAAAACCTCCATAACATAAGTGTTGTTTGTTTAGATGGCAAAGGCAGTCATGGAGTCCTTCCCTCTGATCCCGAATGTGAATTTTGAGTGTTCGAAGAAATACATGAAACGGGAGAGGAGAGAACTGGCTCTCGAAATCCTTGAGGCATCAGGTAAATAAATATGAATATATGTATATGTATATATGTGTGTATGTATGTGTATATATATATGTATATGTATGTATATAGAAGCTGACATACATGTATTGTTATCTTGTTTCAGTCCTTGATGAGCACACTTATTGTGCTATGTGTGCTTAAGGCCTCCAGGATCTGGATCTCCCATCACAGACTGGGTGAGCTGTTGTGAAGAAAATGTGGAATTGTGATGTCTACATTTATTTTTTCATTTATTTAACAGGGACAGTGCACATTAATTAACATCTCTGTAAATGTGCCAGAGTTAGCCAAGAGGCTATTTTTCATCTGTAGTCCCTGGACAGATTTTAAAAGTCAACCTAAAACACATTTAATTTTAAACAAGTAAATACAATACATTTAAAACATGCAACATACATTACTGGGATACTTAAATAAAACAATTTAAAAGACAGAACAATAAAACAAAAAAAAACAAAAAAAACAAGAGCATGTTAAAACACAGGCAGTGGGTTTTAAGGACCAGATGATTGTGTCAGCTGATTCCTCACTAACACTTGAGTATTAAGACAACTGAATGGTAATCTAAGGTACAAATATATAAATACATTATTTCTTTCACTTCAACAGGTTCAGTGTGATGACTGTGAATGATGGTACCATGCCCAGTGTCTGGCAATGGGCAGCAGAGACTTTAAAAAGGCAGAGACAGGATATTGGAAATGTCCTTTGTGCAAGTAATACTTGAAATGTGCTCAATGATGACGATTAGTAAAACATGTGTCCTGTGTAGCCTTGTTTGTATTACTTTCTGATCATTAATCACTATTTAAAGTATTAAAATGCAATAAAAAGAGGTGTGTCCTATGCAGCAAGTGTAGTTATTTGATCCAGCACTGATTTTGAGTCATTATGTCACACTACCTAGCAGTTATTGAAGAAATATGCAAATGTTTCTATCAAAATATTAATAAAACGTATTTAAAGTATTAAAATGCAATAAAAAGAGGTGTGTTCAATAAATGTATGCTCTAGAGCAGGGGTGGGCATTTTACGGCCCGCGGGCCACATCTGGCCCGTTGGCCGGCCTTGGCCGGCCCGTGTGAGGTTGATCATAAATTACAACAAAATGAAAAAAAACAGCAACCTTTTCAAAATAAAAGCAACACAGCTGTATTGCTTGCATGGCGTAAATACTTTTCTAACTGTGTTGCTTTTATTTTGAAAAGGAAGCTGCTGTTTTTTTTATTTATTTACGTAAACGCTTATGCCGTAACAGCTACGAGTGATGCTGGCCGGCTAGTCCTCGAAATGTCCGCTAAGGGAAAAAAAAGAAAGATCGATACTGAATGCCGCATTTTCAACAAGACATGGACCGCTAAGTATTTATTTACAGAAGTGAAAGGTAAAGCTGTGTGTTTAGTTTGTGGTGCGCAGGTCGCTGTGTTCAAGGAGTACAATTTGAGTCGCCACTATGCTACCAAACACGCAGATAAATACAAGAACCTGTCTGAGGAAGAGCGGGCAAAGGGGTCGGATGCTTTGCTAGCTAAGCTGCAAAGCCAACAACACATTTTCACAAAACATTCCACATCCAGAGATGCAGCTGTCAAGACGAGTTATGTCTTAAAAGTTAACCGTTTTCGGACGAAGAGTTCATTAAGGAGTGTTTGTTGGACACTAATATGCCCGGAGAAAAAGGAGGCATTTGAGAAAGTGCCGCTCTCCCGACGCACTGTTACGAGGAGAATTGAGGACATCGCGGGAAATCTGGAGCTTCAGCTGCAGAACAGAGCGGTCAACTTTGACTTTTTTTCCTTGGCTTTGGATGAGAGCTGCGATGTACGTGACACTGCCCAGCTACTCATCTTCCTACGTGGGATAACTACAGACTTCAAAATCACGGAGGAGCTGGCAGCCATGCAGTCAATGAAAGGTACAACAACAGGGAGTGATTTGTTCACGGAGGTAAATGCATGTGTGGAAAAGTTGGGACTGAAATGGGACAAGCTGACAGGCGTGACAACGGATGGTTGTCCAAATCTGACAGGGAAAAATGTTGGACTATTGAAGAGAATGCAGGATAAAGTGACAGAAATTAACCCTGAGCAGAAATAGGTATTTTTGCATTGTATTATACATCAGGAAGTGTTGTGTAAGTCAGTGTTAAAAATTAACCATGTTGTTGATGTTGTAACTAAAATAGTTAACTTCATCAGGGCAAGAGCATTGAATCACAGACAGTTTGTTGCACTTTTGGAGGAAAGTGAGACTGAACATCGTGACATACCCTACCATGCAGCTGTCAGGTGGCTCAGCCTGGGCAAAGTGCTGAAAAGAGTAGGGGACCTGAGAGAAGAGATTCAAGACTTCTGTGTGAAGAAAGGAAACGACATCCCACAGCTTTCAGATGCAGACTGGATGGCAGACCTTGGTTTTGCTGTAGATGTGACTGCACTAATGAGTGAACTAAATGTCAAACTGCAAGGCAAGGGCCTTTTGTGCATGACATGTACAGTGCAGTGAAGGCTTTCATGAGAAAGCTGCAGCTTCTCTCAAGCCAAATGGAGGACAACATTCTCACGCACTTGCCAACACTGAAGGAAGCCACACCATCAGCTGATCACCTCCAGAGGTACTCATCCATGTTAGAAGCACTGCATGGTGAGTTTTCAAGGCGATTTAAAGACTTCAAAACAGTTGAGAATGAAATGAACATGATCTTTTCCCCATTTACATGCCATGTGGATGATGCACCCAGTGATGTTCAGCTTGAACTAATTGACCTGCAGTCTGACACACTTCTGTCAGAGCACTTTAGGTCAGTCTCACTGCCTGAGTTTTACTCTTCCCTGAAAGAGGAGAACTTTCCACACATCAGGAGACGTGCTCAGAAGATGATGGTCCTCTTTGGATCTACCTACATATGTGAACAGACATTCTCAGTGATGAAGTTCAACAAATCCAGATACAGATCCTCTATCACTGATGATCACCTCTCAGCTGTCCTTCGCATATCCACCTCAGACATTGAACCAGATTTCCGTGCACTTGTTCAAGCCCAAGACAGACTGGATTTTTCTCACTGAACAAGTAAAATGAACTGAAAAACAAAAATCAAAAGCACTCATTCATTTCTTATCTTTAACATACTGTAAAACACCTTTTCAGTATTGGTATATTGAGCAGAATTAAGTTCAACTTATTTTTGATTCGGCCCCCCAACACAGCTCGAGTTTCTGAAGTGGCCCCTTGTAAAAAATAATTGCCCACCCCTGCTCTAGAGTGAATTTGCTTCACATTCACACGATCGAGAAGCTGTCGATTTATTAAAAAGAAAATTTTTCTTGTGTAATTGTAAAAGTCATTTGTTGATGGTCCCTAAGTGAAAGCCTCGTTTCGCGGAGAAGATCTCCCCGTTAAACTGACGCTGCTGGCGGGTCCGGGAAACTGACGCTGCTGGCGGGTCCGCGAATGTCTGTCGAATATCCAACCTAAAACTAAATTCACCGCGGTGCCCGGCGTACTCCGTTTGGAGAAATATCGAGTCTGCACATGAGTAGACTCCGCGGTCTTAAAATCCCCACAATGCTTTGCGCACAGACCAATTTCCAAAATCTGTGGCGGAAGATGTAAGGCGGGGCCTCTCATATGACGCACACCTGCACACTTGCTAGCCTGTTCCACTCTTTGGGTGTTTCTCAATCGCGAGTAAAGCTGCTTCAGAGCCACTATTTCAAGCATACTACGTCATAGAGTGCCGCCGAAGTACTGTTCCAATCTCCAGCATACTTGGAAATCTACCGAGCCCGGCGTACTCCGTTTGGAGAAATATCGAGGCTGCACATGAGTAGACTCCGCGGTCTTAAAATCCCCACAATGCTTTGCGCACGGACCAATTTCCCCAAATCTGTGGCGGAAGATGTAAGGCGGGGCCTCTCATATGACGCACACCTGCACACTTGCTAGCGTGTTCCACTCTTCGTTTTCCGAATGCCAGGAAGTATTCTTGCCTCGCTTCTGAAGCAAGATGCTCGGCAGACATGTGCTACCAATCAAGCGTACTCGCGATTGAGAAACACCCCCCGTATCTGTTCACCTTCGACACCAAAGAAAGACCACCTGTCTGTCAATGAAGGCCCAATCCCAAACCACGCCCTACACCCTACCCCTACCAGAGTTCCCGTTAGCCGGTAATTACCGGACTATGACCGGTAAAATATGCTGAAGACCGGCAAATCTAAATCTCCGGTCAAAATGTCCGGTCAAAATAATTTTCCCTTAGCGCAATACCGCATCAGTTGCGCCACTTATGTGACAGACAAGAAGAGTATGTGACAGACAAAAGAGTATGTGACAGACAAGAAGAGTCAATTCTAATGTCTAACACTTAATGTGGAGAAAGAGATGTCCCGTATGGGTTGATTGTGCGTTGATCTGTTGGTAATGCCTCTGGGTTCCGGTGGGCATGTAAAATGCATAATGCTGCGCTATACTTTGTGGCCTCACCCGGTTGCATAGCGACGCCTATTGTTTAGGTGTCTTTTAATAAGCAGGTAGTCATATCATTAGCTAGAACTAGCTAGATCTGATCGATATGGACATAAACGCGAGTGAAGTCTAATCTGACGGGAGAGAGAGATCGGCTGCTGCTGACGAGTCGACACGCAGCTCTGCATGATCCCCTGCAGCGGCGAGCAGAGCAAAACACACTTCAGGTTAGAACATCACACGTAGCTATTTTAATTACCTCTCAAACTACCTATAGTTATAGATATGTTTAGTTTTACTGGATCCGCATGATACTGACGGGCTGTCAGGAGAAGGAGAGAGCGCTCCGTTTATTATTCCCACGTTTTTGTAAGTTACTGTACACTTTTGAATAATGTAGTTAATCTACTATAATTAGTTTGTTTAATATCGAATCATATCAATTTGTTTTAAAGCTCAATAAATAAGAAAGAAGACCTTT